ACTTGATAGAGATGAGTGCTTCTGAACAAGTGCCAGATGATGAGGAAGATATAGGTTAACATTCTGGTAGAAGGGTTCTGATTATTTGAGACTGCTTTTGACATGGGTCCTTCTATGATATGGGCACTGAACCTAAAGCAAATGGTGGAAGAGGGATTGGTATCATATAAAAATATTTTTACAGAAATGAAAAAGCAAAAGCAAGAAATTACTATGTGTTTCTGTAAAGTTTCACCAAGTGTGCTTGCCTCTCCTTCCACCTCCTCCACCTCTATGACACCACTGCCACCCTGAGATAGCAAGACTGACCCCTTCTTTTCCTCCTTGTCTTCAGCCTCCCCAACATGAAGATGATGACAAGGATGAAGACCCTCAGGATGATCCACTTCCACTTAATGAATAGTAAATAAATATCTTTTCTCTTACTTATGATTTTCTTAATATTAGGTCATTAAATATGAAATGTGATTTTGAATCAAAAGTTAGTTTATTATATCTCAAACAAGTAGTACAAGTAATCAAAGTATGTGCCTAAACTACTGACACAGTTTAGCCATTTTAACAGTAGCTTGTTTATGCTGGCAGCAAAGAAGCCTGGCGAGCAAGTGGTGATGAAAGGCGTTTGCCACAGCTTGTGGAGAATTGAGTATTTTTCCTTGCAAAAAGTGGTCCAAAGCCTGGAAGTTGTGTCAGTTGGTGCAAGGTCTGGTGAATATGGTGGATGACAGTTTCCAAGTTCAGCTGCTGTGGTTTGAGCAGTGTTGTTTGTGCAACACAGGATAGAGCACTGTCCTGCAAGAGGATTGGCCTGTCTCTATTGACCAATCTTGGCTGCTTCATCACAAGCATCCTCATCATTTTATTCAATTGGTTGTAGTAGACTTCTGCTGTCATCGATTGACCAGGTTTCATGAAGCTGTAGTGGAAATACCAGCGCTGGACCACCAAACAGACACAGCTTTTTTGGATGAATATTCAGTTTTGGACTGTGTTTTGGCACTTCATCTTTATCCAAACACTGTGCTGAATGCTTGCAACTGTCCAAAAGAATCCATTTTTCATCACATGTAACAATATGATGTAGAAATGGTTTGCCTTTAGTCGTGACAGCAAAGAAAGGCAAGCTTCAAGATGGTTTCTCTTCTGATGCTCATTTAATTCATGCAGAACTCATCTACCCAGTTTCTTTACCTTGTGCATTTGTTTCGAATGGTCCAATATTGTTGGAATAGTAACATCAACCCTTGTTGCTAATTTACGTGTGCGTTGAGATGGATTCACTTCCATTACAGCTTTCAGCTCATCATTACCCACCTTGGTCTCAGGTCACCCACATGGCTCATTTTCAAGAATAAAATCACCAGAATGGAACTTCTCGAGCCATCGATGTGCATTCATTAGCCACATCCTTCCCACACATCCTTCCCAAACATTTCATTGATATTTTCAGCTATCTGCGCAGCATTGGTTCCATGACAAACTCATTCAAAAATAACACTAATTTTGACTTATCCATGGTTTCACAAAAAATGCTCCAAAAAAGAATTTAAAAGATAATCATAAGCCAAACCATGCATTTCAAAGAATGAGGATGTACCTTCACAATAAAAACAAGAAGCGTCAAAAGTGCAATATCAGGGATATCAACTGTCAAAACTAGTACTTAAATTGGACATTTCATACTTAATAACCTAATAACATTTTCTTTCCTCTAGCTTACTTTATTGTAAGAATACAGTATATGATACCTATAACATATAAAATGTGCTAATCGACTGTTTATGTAATCAGTAAGGCTTCCAGTCAACAGCAGGCTACTAGTAGTTAAGTTTTGGGGGAGTCAAAATTATATGTGGATTTGACTGCGTAGGTCAGCATCCCTAACCCCTGTATTGCTCAAGGGTCAACTGTGCGTATATATGTGTATAGCATAAAAAGCATAAACACATGTTTGTGAATGCATAGACAAAATTTAAAGTATACCACAACTTTTTTTTTTTTTTTTTTTGAAACAGGGTCTTGCTCTGTCATCCATGCTGGAGTGTAGTGGCACGATCACAGCTCACTGCAGCTTTGAATTCGGGCTCGAGTGATCATCCTGCCTCAGCCTCCATGTAGCTGGGACGACAGGTGCTGCCACGCCTGGCTAATTTTTAAATTTTTTTTAGAGATAGGGTCTCATTATGTTGCCCAGGCTGGTCTTGAACTCCTGGGCTCAAGTGATCCTCCTGCATAGGCCTCACAAACAGTTGGGATTATGCACGAGCCACTATGTCCAGCCACAGCAATGTTTTTTAATGTAAGCTTCACGAATGCTTGTTCTTCAATGTGTTTGTAAAAGCTACTGACACATAGGAGAGTCTATTTATTGAAGGGCAAAAAACAAATAAACACACACACAGGCAAATTAGTAAGTACTTATTTTGTGCTCAACACTTTACTGCAACATTTTACCTGTTATCAAACCTGTTATAAAAACTTAAGGTTAAATCCACAACCAAGTGATTTTTATGCCAACTTCAAAGGTGCATTTTAACAATGAATAAAAATGGCCATTATTTATATGTACATTTTTTTTCCTGATCGATGCTAGTAATCCATAGTGGCATCATCTTTCAAGTTCAAAGAGCAGTGGTATGTAAAAAACAAAAAGTGGTAGAAAAAGTGAACATTAATTATTCATATAATGGATAACCTTGAAGAAGCAGAGGATAACTAGAAAAAAATTCAGAGATGTTCTTCAGAGTTTTATATGTTCTAATCGGTATTTTTGTGGGGCATCTAGTATCCGATGATTATATCAGTAGAAAAAAAATGGAGTATCCTTTGCTCTTATTGGAAGATAATGATGCTGACACGAGTTGAGTTTGGTGGATCCACACCTTCATTCACAACTTACTAAATATGTATCCCTTAACCCTTTGCAAATTTAATCTGAAAGGATTACGAACAAAGCAACAGTGATGTGAGAGGCAGTGTGACACTACTGAAGAGTATTGTTTTCTACTCCTTGATTTAAGGTTTAGCAGGTATGACCTTGGGCAACCATGTGAGTATGCTTTCTCAAGAACTCAGAAATAATACCACCCAACTTTCAGTACTTCCAGGCTTAAGTAAGGCATTCAAGTGTTATGGTTCCTTTCTCTTTCCTTATGGTTGTTTGGAGAAATAGAGGGCATGAAAATGTCTGACACATTATAAACATTTATTATTAGCTTCCTATCTTTCCTACCTGGGTTTTTATATACTTGTCCACTAGGGCACAATTAATAACCATGTTTAACTGCTGGGCTATGTAATCATCTAGAAATCTTTATTTGCTATTTAATGCGGTTTGGTTGTGTTAATAGTCTTAAAACAAAGAGTGAATATTAATGATGTCTCCATCTAAGAACTTTTGGCCCCTTGGGTTACTGAAGAGGGAAACATGGGGATCTTAACATCCTTCTCATTTCTACATTGCCTGAGTAATGTATGCAATTTTATATAGTTTTGTATAATTACAGCTCTATTTGTTATAGATTGGGATTTCTGATTCATGGAATTAGCTCCTACACATAAGGGTCTATCTTGTTATTGATGTCACTCTTTGGTACTTTCTCCATAAATCTTGACCATTTTGTACTACCAATAATCCTCTTTATATTTCTCTGTATTTTTCCCTGCCCTATACTTGGCATTTCTACCACACTGGTTACAGAAGAATAAATAATTAGCACTTGGCTTACTCTCACCAGTCAGCTTCCCTCTAGTTTCAGTACTTTTTGACTGGAGCTTAGAACCAACACCCCAAGTCAGGGGTTGGAAACCACAGCAAGACAAATCTGGCCCTTGGCCTGTTTTTGTAAATAGTTTTACTGGAACACAGCCACCAGAATTCATTTACATACAAAGGCTGCTTTTGTGCTACATGACAGAGTTGAAGAGTTGCAACAAAGAACATATGGCCTGCAAAGCCTAATATAGTCAATATCTGGCCTTCTACGGAAAAAGTTTGTGGACCCCCTGCTCTGAGTATTGGGAGGTTTCTATGCTTTTTCAGTGACAGATGCAATTTAACTACTGTAGTCTCTAAACTTAACATTGAGGGTGGCCTGATCAGATGTCAAATAAAAGAACAATACGCATGTATCTTTTATCTTGGTACCACTCCTTGAAAGCAGAAACAGAAATTTCTACTATCTGACTGTGTTTTAGTTCAGCAACCAAAGTGAAAAATCAAACCACTTCTGTGTAAAAGAGACTCTATGAGGGCTTTATACTAAATACCATGGGTATCCAGTAAACAGTGTGTGTGTGTGTGTTTAACATTTAGAGAGGCATTTATTAAATTCAACTTATATTTCCATTTAGTGTCTGTACAGTGAGTGACTAAGGAGGCATTTTAGGAAATTAAGGAACTATAGCTTTATTTGTAATAATCCCAAACTGCAAACAACCAAAATATCCTTCAATAGGAATATGGTGAAACAATGTGGTACATCCATACCATGGAATACTATTCAGCAATAAAAAGAAGAAACTACTGATATATATGACAACTCAGATGCATCACAAGGGCACTGTGATGAATGAAAAGAGTTAATCTCAAATGGTTGCATACTGTATAATTCCATTTATATAACATTCTCATAATGACAAAATTATAGAGATGAAGAATAAATTAGTGATCACCACGGGTTAGAACTGGTACGGGTAGGTGTGGCTACAAAGTAGCATGAGGGAGAGCTCTGGGATGATGACAGTTCTGTATCTTGATTGAAGCGTTGGTGATACAAATCTACACATGTGAAAACATGGCACAGAAACACTTACACACATTGTACCAATGTCAATATCCTGATTTTCATATTGTACTACAGTAACTCAAGACGAAAAAACTGGGAGAAACTGGGTTCAACCTACTTGGACCTCTCTGTATTATTTTTGCAACTTCCTTATTTCAAAATAAAAAGTTAAAAAAACAGACACTTGCACATATAAGAAAATTCATAGCAAAATAAAATGCACCATGGCTAATTTTATTCAAATTCTCCAAAATTTATATTCAATATTTAATTATTTCTAAAATGTATGTTACCCTTTATTATAATGGTTTTAATATTTCATCTTTCTTTTATGGTTTTTTCATCTTTTCTTTACAGTTTTTCAGTAGAAGCCAGAATCTTGAGTTGCCCAGTTAGGAGCCTAAAATATACAGAGAAAAATTGACAGGGTGAAAAGAAAATACCTTCTAAAAACACTAACATAGAAAAAAGTGATACAGCATTTACTTTAGCACCACTCCTGTCAAACCAGTCTAAGATCTTAAATTCTGCAATTACTAAATGTCAGATGTCCCACTTAGAACAAAATAAACACATCAAAATATTATCTATACAATATAACAATTATTGTTATCACCAACATTGGAACAATAATCAATACAAACTGATCCTGAAGCATACAGAAAAAAAATCACATAAGTTATTTTCCAGGCTCAGCTATCCTAGACTTGGTTGGAATATGCAATTCCAATCTAATGAGTCTTTCTCTTTTGAAACTAAAGGACTGTTCTAAGGACACCAATCGGTCCCTAAAATTTCAATCAAATGGGGTCTCTGAAAGTCCCACAACTGCTTCCTAATGACCAGTTACACATAATCATAATGTCTAAACAGCATTAAAGACAGTTTAGGATTCCAAAATTATAAGGCCATTCAAGTTCCTTCAACATATAATATGCAGGATCTCTATGAAAAGGGGTGATTATTTTGATATGAACATAAGAAATGAAATTTGTGTAAGATCAGCACTAACAGATATAATAAGATCAACGTTTTTACAGAATTATTTCTTTAGATTTAGAAAGAACACACATTTCAAGCACTTGAAAGAGGGCTACACATGTAAGTTATCATCTGCCAGTATCAAAATGATGTGTTGAAAACCCTGAGGAAATGAGTTAATGAAGTCACACAGGAAGACTAAAAGGAGAAGAAAAATAGTTATAACAAATGAGCAACACAATTTTTTTCAGTTCCTTTGACTAACGCATATAATTACATCTAAGAAAAAATTCATTTCAGTTTAGTAATTTCTTAAACAAAATGTTCATACCTTTAAATAGCAATAAAAATCAGGTACAACTGATACTGATATTGTCTCAAAAAAAGGTCATGTAACAATTATGTTACATTGTTCCTAAATCCCAAACAGAGTAGAAAATGTGTGGTTCTTACCTCTGATCTACTATTCTGGTTAAGTTTCTTCTCAATATTCATGGCCAATATCTGGCTTCTAAAAGAAAGGCTTTTGGTCTTTTCAATCACTTGCTGATAGGGTGAGACTGCATTGTTACCCATGACCACATGGCCCTAAAATGAAACAGAAGGAAATCGATCCTATAATGATAATGACTGAGTTTCCCAGGTAATTAATGAGCATGATATAATAATACTACATGACTATTGCAAATATTTTTATACACTGTATAGAGATGACAACATTTATCTAGCAAGGACGTTGCTGTTGTCTTCAGAGAACTATTATACATTAAAACAAAATAAATTCTTAATAAAAAATAAAATGTCCTAACTAAAAATTTCTAAAAATACAAGATAATCAGCAATTGGTATTTAGTATATAGCATAACTAACATAATACTCACTAATTTAGAATCAATCTTGGCATCGAGTCTTGCATTTCTGATCAAATTTACAATCCATCTTTCAGCTTCTTCTGGAGTCATGTTCAGTTTATCTGCCAACATGCTAATGAGAAAAGTAAAAACAGTTATGTTAATTAACTGGGCCTAAAAATCTAGTTTTATGTATCTGTTTGACCTACGCTCTACATAGAGAATTTTAGGTATTTCTGGGTCACCCTCTCTTATATACCAAGATCCATACTATCTACATTGCTCTTATGTTTGTGCCCCTTGTCTTGTATTATACATGACCTATATCCCCTTTTACCAACCAAACTGTAAGATCCTAGAGGGGAGGATACCATATTCTGCATTTATGAAAATCCTTTCAGCTTCCGGAACACACTTTACACCAGGTGCTCAACAAATAATGATATAAGGGAGAAAAAGGTTTTATAATGTACAGTCAGCCCTCTGTAGCCACAGGTTCTGCATCCATGGATTCAACCTACCACAGATAGAAAATACTGGGGTGAAAAAAAACACAGTAAAAAAAATAATAATACAATTCAAAAAAATGAATAAAAAACCCAATACAGCATAACAAATACAACTATTTATATATTATTTTTCTGTCCGAGGGCTGACTATATAATGATTATACAAAGTAAACGTTCTACAAGGAGCATCAGTAATAGGTATAATCTAATGAAAACTATAAATAAAATTCAGGGCTCCTGTGTATATTTGTGCTGTTAACTCTAAGGACACTCCCTGGAGCTGTATACTTTATAACCTGTATGACCACTGAATTTTAGAGAAGGGGGAGGGGAGGCCAGACTGTGAAGACCCCAATCTAAAATACTTTTTGACATCAACCAATCTGCATTTTGTATTTTTCCAAATTATGATCAGGTTGAAGAGGGTTGGTGCTGCATTTAATTTGTCAGGACGAAGAAGCAAGCACCACCCTTGGTAAGCAGGGTAAGCCTGAAATCAGTCAGCTGATGGAAGAATATCTATGTATGCACATATAATATTAAGAGTATATATTTAAAAGTGTATAGTACATAAGTATGCATATATGGGTTTTTATACATGAACATCAACTGTCCCTTATCTTCATTAAAGATATCACATACTGCCTAGCCTTTTAATGTAATCACTGATTTGATGAAAACTAGAATATCATCAACAAAATCATTCCTTGGAATATTATGAACTAAAATTTCTGACAGCATTCCCAACTTTAAAACATAAATATTCAAGCAATTAGTGACTGTATAATTAATTATTTAATTCCAGAGCTCCTAATCCAAATGTAACCAATCTAGTTAATAAAAATACCTTTATGGAAATAATATAATCTCTGTGCTATCCCTATTTTATATGTCTATTGACAATGAGTTCATAGAATTTTGTTGAAAATGTAAAAATTAAGTTAGGCTACCAATAAA